CCAGAACATAAAGCAGAAAAAAGATTGAAGCCTTGCTGTATATGAAATGAATCTATTCAACAAAAAAATTGAGGCTTATAGATTTATGAGGCGGCATTTCACATTTCAGGTTTCATGGGATATATTTTTTGATGATCAGATAAAGAAAGTGACTGTGAATGAAGAAAAATGAAGAAAAATTGACATGCAGATCTATAAACCTGTGAAAAAAACTTTTCTCGGCTCGGGGCCAATTAAACACTGGGCCGCTCTCTGCCACATGCAGCTGCTTTGTGAAGAAGACATCGATAAACAAATGATGGTCTGTCTGTGCACATCATTAATAAAATCACATGTTAGAGTGTCATTATGAAAAAGCTTCAGGCTGCAAACAATCACCTTCTGAGCAATTATCTCTGTGCCTTGCCTATTATTGAAAAGTGGAGTAGATAATGAAATTCCTGTGTGCTCCGGAAAAGGAAAACCAACAACTCTGCGGTTGTTAATAACACAAGCTGCAGTCTAGACGCAGGGCAGGAAAGAGAATACACGAGAAGCTGTGGCGTTTAATGGTCACGACCACTTTGATTCCCCTGATAGCAAAGTCTTTTTCTTGTTCTGTCTGCTGCCACCCACCATGACTGCAGCACGCAGTAACGTCTCCAACCTGTTCAACCTCCTGAGTGTCCACCCTCTATGCGTTCTGATGAGTGTTATAACTATAAGGCAAAAGGATGGAAACTGAGGCGGAAGGATTTAGAATAATTTGAGCTGCTATGAGGCATCCGCGACCTTCGACCAGCTTCATAATGTGGTGTATCTAATCCCCAAATCCTCGTCTGGAGGCTCGAGTTGGAGTCTCTGAGCTGAAAGGCAAAAGGCAGCTTCTCTTTTCATACTGAGCAGCCATGAAATGGAGGACAACAATGCAGATAAACAGTGCTGATACAACTGTCACATTGTAGAAACTGGAACCATTTTTATGCTTGGAAATTGAGTGAAATGGCTCAACTTCAAACCAAATCATTGCCACTTGTTTTCTGTTTATTGATTAATTTACAATTGGTTGCAGTTCACAGGTTCAAAGTAACAGGGACTGAATAATATCTTACTTGCATGAAATGTGCAGCTTTGTTTTAAGTCACAGCATTTCTGTATATAATGCATTTCTGCGTCACACATTCTGTACCTTCACCAGGAGGGTATATTTCAAGGTCTGTGGATTGTTTAATGTAACTTGGACATTGTCATTTTATTGGAATTTAGATTCTGCTCCATTGTGCCGAGGGGAAATCTGAGGAACAATTATTTCAGAGACTTCACAAAAGTGAAAATTACTCCATGAATAAATAATGTAGGGGCAAAAAAATATTTTTTTGTGATTTTGGATGGATCGAACCCATATAATGTTGGGAAAACACTCATTAAATTATTTTGCTGTTTTGCGAATAAAAAAAGCTCAGGGCACATTACAAATGATAATGCACTAAGTGGACACCAATAGGTCTGTAGTTCCATCTGACAACAACCCACCAGCAGCGTGTAAACCCCTGAAGTGGGCACTCACAGCAGACGACGAGATGGTCTGGAGAGGTAACACCTTTCCGCTCGTTCGTTGATTTCTCACACCTTTACACTAAGACCTCCTACTGCCTGTCATTGTCCACCAGAGGAATGATGATGGCCTTTCAATGTCTCTTCCCAGAGTGCTGCACATCAGTGAGGGGGGGGGGGAGCGTCCATGTGTTGCCAGACTGGGGACAAACAGGCATTGTGCTTCGGCTCTGCTGCTGCCCTGATGCCCATAGACTGTCCCTGTTTATAGACACGGCACTTAATTGTGGCCTCACACAACTATGTCCTTTCTGTGCTGCTTCTCTGTGTTAATTGCAACTATTGAGACAGCACAGAGGTCTAATGGTTGCTCTTCATTCTTTGAACATGTAGTAGTGCAGTGCTCCTTCTTAACTTGCCTGTTCTCTTGGCCTGTGTAATGCTCTGGAGCTACATCCGAATTATTCCTCGTCATTAGTGAGTCCTCTTCAAACAGACTGTCACTTTTATTGTTTGTGTGCTAGACGTTGTGTACAGAGTTTTTGGTGCAGAGTGAAGTTACAAAACTTTGTGTTCATCCTATCTGGTTTATCTGCAATTAAAAATGTATAGTTTATTTTTTTTATTAGAGTGAAACTGAAGTTGCTTTATTACTGTCTAAGTGTGACTGATATTGCTTAACTGTTATTTTTTGATATATACATATCAGCTATTTCAGAGTTAAGCAAGTGACAAAATCTTTAGTCCCAAGTTCTTAACTTAAAAATAAAAACTCTGTAATGCACCTCAATACAGAGCATGGCAGCAACAAAATGTTGTGCCTGTATTTTGAAGGCTGATCGCTACAAAGAAAGCAATTCTCTGAATGTTCAGCTCCTGCGGCGCCCATGTGTCCACCCAATATGATAAGATAAAAACGAAATTATCAAAAGGATCCGGTGGCACAGATGTTATTGCCCACAGCCAGACAATTGCTGACCACTTCTGTAGTTTATCTGAGGCTGTAGATGTCCGCGAATTGTAAACTAAAGGCAAATTGTAACAAACTTTGCTTTGCACTCTCTCGGCCAATTTACAAAGGACATGCAATGTCTGAAGCTGATTAGATGAATACTTTGAGAGATGCGCATTCAACCTACAGAAGGAGAGATGGACACAATTAAAATAAATATGTAAATATACTTTTCTGCAGTTTTTTAAAAGTCTATTTATTTGAGTAAAATGTTGAATATGTGTCACTGCTGTTGTACCATTATAGCACATAAAATAAAGCTTGTATAAAGTCTCCTGTTTACTTTCTATCACCAACATGACTTCCCATTGTGGAGCATTGACCTTCTAATTTTGTGAGAAAAACAGATTGTCTCTAAGTTTGCATAAGTAGCAGCTATGATGCAAAGTGAAAAAAAAAGTGATTTAGATGTAAGTGCTTCTCTGATTGCATTGCCTCCTCTTCTCCTCGGGGGTGCTATGTATATCTTAGAGTGTTGATTAGACAGCAGCCCCCCACCCACATTTGCAATTCAAGGCCACATTGCCATGATGCATTTGCTGTTGTATGGTTGTTGTGCAGGGGGAGGATAGAAGTTAACTCAGAAATGATCGATATGATGTTTTTTTGTTGAATCTCTTTTTTTTTTTTACCAATTAGTGAAAGTGGAATAAACTTAAAAAACTAAAGCATGGATGTACTTCAGTTTTAAAATCGGTTTAAGGATTAAACAGTCTTGGGGGCTTCTCTGGCACATTAGCACGTTCACACTTTATAGTTCGGTCACATTCTGGTAAAGTCATGTTGTCAAAATACCCATTGCATTAATATCTGGTCGGGGCCCCGGGGCAGCGTTCTCCATGGGCCCTCACTCTGCTAGCGACACCTTCATTATGAGCGTGTGTAAAACCCTGTGAGATACGTGAGGGGCCTGGTACCTCAAACATCTCATTTCTGCTTTATAACTACTGATGACAGCCTGTGTGACTCAGGGGTAGAACAAATTTACAATTAAATTGCAAATGTGTTTTCCGGCACACAGACACCCCCGATGGTCCCTGTTGGCCTCTGGGCTTCAGTGTTGTGTTTAAATGACTTCTGTACTTCACATTATTCTGGTGTCTACTATCCTCACAAGCCCCTTTGTGGCACCAGAAGGCATCTGGCCCCCACCCTCAGTCTCAGTTTAGCAGTCTGTGCTGAACTAGCTGCATGCTCCCACAATAACAGTACTGACGTCACTGGCCATAGTTAGGCACATGCTGCCTTCAGGTTCTCCTCATAAAACCCGATTTCTGAGCACTTCACGCTATGCAGACTGACCTGGCAAGGACTGGAAAGAGACAAGCAAAACCAAAGTAGATTGATTGGGGGCGAGTTACGCATATAAGGACACAGACATATGTTTTCAGTTGAATGAAGAGAGGACACTTTTTTAAAAGAACAATACATCGAACACATGTATAGTTCCGGTTTTATCAAGTTTTGTCATGGGTGTAAAAATAAAGTCCTGGACTTATCTCCATAATTATCCCTGGTGTTTGCACAGTACATCATATACACAGGATGTTTATTGCAAATGTGAATACCTTGTTGTGAGTTCACTAATTCAAACCAGGAACACCCTCTGTAACAGTGATAGCTGTTCATTTGATGTTCATTTTAAATCATATTGTCCACTAGAATTGGATAAAACAAAGCTTGGATCAACACGCAAAGCTATATGTTCAACATAAAATAAGATGGTGGGCCTTGATTAGCCTAGTGATTACCTGGATTGCCTAGGATGTTATGTTTTCATCTGTGTTTGTTTGGTAGTACGCAGGATTAGGCAAATATCATTGGACAGATAACCATGAAACTTGGAAGGATGTAGTATGGGTCAAGGAAGGATCCATTAAAGTTTAATGCGGATCTGAGGCTTTTTTCCACGTTCTTTAGCATTTTGAGATAATAATAATTCATGGACCTTGATGAAAAAGTTACATGTTTAGGCGACTGGTATTTTTGAGAGTGAGTAATTTAGTTCAGATCGAAATAAAACTCCTGATCAGTATGGTTTCATAAGCGAACTGTCGGGCCTTGCAGGAGCTATGCACTCTACTTATGTCTTGTGTTTTAGTCATGCACACATCTCAATTAATAAATAAACAGATTGAACAATATGCCTGGTTAACTTTTTCCACCTACTTTTTCTCAAAATTAGATTGGTTTAGGTTCTTTTGTTGGGCAATGCCCACTATGTTTTTCTCTTTCAAATGCTTCCCTTGCACAACGTGTATACATGTGTATTTATTCTCACTATTATATATATAACTATTCCTTATATATATATATAAATGTTTATTTCAATAAAGAGGGAACATAGTGTGATTTGGTGGATAGCTATTACATAAACACCTGTCTCAGGGGAAAGCAACTCTACATAGCATTAAAGATGTGTATGTGTCAGCGCAGTGAGGATGTTCTACGACGGTCCGTGAACGCGTCGGGCCGCACACCGTGAGCAGCGCTGATTGAGCAGCAGAGCGGCGGCGGTGACGACGGCCATCTTAGAGCTACCGCGGCAACAGACACTCATCCTCTGGATCTTATTCTTCTGGCTCACAGACGCGCTCCGCCTGACTGACGGGGGAAGAAGAAGAAGGAGAAGCAGAAGGCCGCCTCTTACTTCACCGCGGTTGAACTCGAAGTCGGGATGCGGTTCAGAGGGAATACGGGATTTGCATCCGCTGTCGGACTGGTCCTCGGACTATTATGTGCGGTGGAGGCAGCTAAAGGTAACTAAGCTGGGATTTGTGTCCCGTTGTGTGAGTGTGTGTGTCTGTACGTGTCGGACATGTCCTCCCGGGGAGATCTGCGCATCTAACGGTTCCTCAGAGGGTGAAGGTGGGGACAGAGGCGTTAGCTGCCGGGCAGTGCGGTCCGGAGAGATGCGTGTTTCAGGAACCTGCTCGGGGATGGTCCGCTCCGCAGCCGCAGCGGAGGGATGGAAGTATCCCGCCGGCAGCAAGTGCATCCCGCGATGCTGTGTCCATTTTAACCTTTAAACCACCCAGAACCACGTACAATGCTCCAAAGCCACATTTCATCCATGTGTTAAAATACCATCCCAATAAAATGAGCTACTTTAGAGATAACATCAAGGCCACGGAACGACCCCTTCTGTCATCTGCATCCAGTCTATTTATAGACTGCTCCTTTCTTCTTGTTTTTAAGATTCATATTCCTCACCTTCCACATAGTTCAGCACGTTTTCCTTTTCAACTTGCGCATGTTTGGAAATCCATGTCGTTATAAAAGGTAATTGTCTGAATTAATGGCGAGAGAAGATGTGTTTATTTACCCCCCCCCCCCCATTTTAGATCCAGTGCCATCAGAGCTGGCAGGTTTATTCTTCCATCACAAGGCCTAATGCTGCCTTTGGCATCGCTGTGGTCGCACCGGGATGGAGCTCGGTTGGCTACGCATTGCAGATCCTCTTCACATGCGCCTGTTTTGTGGGTGGATTTAAAAATTCATGTGCTGTGATTACAGACTTAAGTGAAAAAAAAATCTATAACTAGGTCTGGGCCCACTCATGATCACACACACACACACATATATATATATATATATATATATATATATAAGAAATGGAAATTCATCTGTCCTCTTCATTTGCAATGTCACTCATGGACACAGTGAGGAGAAACATGCCTTTATCTGCAGCAGGGTGGTCCTCCTCACAGCAGCTCCCTGCATGATTTTACACACCCTGCTTAAACTCCACCGACTCCCCGGTGTGATCTCCTTGTGTTTCAGGGTGTGTGAAGGTGCATGTTAGTCACTGGCCATATCAGCATGCCCGGGCAGTTCCCAGTGCCGGAGGCTGGTGTGTGTTGTATTATTTTTCATGTTACACCCATTTTATGCCTCATAAACAAAATAAAGACCGTGGCAGGGTTGTTGGTTCCATAAATGTCGGCACAGGGTCTTTTAATATGGCCATATTTTTTTCCCGTTGATATGTCAAGCATCTGAGAATGTCCAGCACCGTGAGTCTGCCATTACACCAGTAACTTCATTTCTTTTTTTCATCAATCTAAAGGAAAGGGCCTGCAGCAGTTAGTCCTGAGTAGTGTGTAAATGTGGCTGTTTTATGTGTGTGTTTGCAAAGTGCAACTGCTGCCTCTCCTGCCTTATCAGCAAAGGAGGCCTGTGAAATCACCATCTTGGAGAGGGCTTATCTTTTATAAACCAAAGGTCACTAGCGTATTTCATGAGCCACCTCTCGTCACCTGCAGGCCAGCTAATGCGTTTTCATTGCTTGTTGTTTCTTTCTTTAATACCAGCCACCTTTAAAAACCAACAAGAGGGAAAACACTCCTCAGGTTTTCTATCCTTTGCTGTTGTTGTTCCTGAATCCTCCAGTTCAGATCACTGCAAATGATCTAACACCATCATTTAGGCGAGGTTACAAGCAACCCTTGAGCAAACCTTGGAGGACCAGTGGGGGAAAAACTGGTTTTGTTACGCAACAAAATTATTGGATCCAGCCTGAAATTCATTATACTACCAGCAAGGAAATGCCAGTGAGGGTCACTGGGGCAAACACAGATGGTTTGTGGCAGGTCTAGTGAAACATCAGCACATTTTAGGTGTTGCTGTCAACTTCTGTTTAATGCTTTTTACATTTTCAATCAAAACATTATGGTGTTTGTCACTTGGTTTGAACGTCTCGTCCACGTGATCCGTGTCTTATTCTGTGACCACGAGCAGCTGCTCCAGCTCCCCGTGTTGGAGAGTTAAATGTTAGGTCTGCTGAGATGCATGAGCCTCTCCTGTGCAAACAGCCAGACAAAGAAAAAGCTGGCTGATGGGAAGTTTCTTGGCTCATTCATCAGCGAATTAAGTAATTGTAGTTGAACAAATTGGATGGCCAGCTTTGTGTGGTGCTGAGTTAACATATGCGCTGTCCTCACGTGGCTAGAATAAAGTTAATATTACTGGTCAGGTGCTTCCTCCCAGTCCTCCTCTCATCTTGCATTAGGTGGAGGAACCTATCATTTACTCTACTGCGTATAGTTCATAGTGTAATGTATTGAGGTCAATATTTTTCTTTTTGAAGTATAGTTAATTGTCTGGATGTGTATTCCTGATCACTTGACATCAAATAAATATTCAAGTTATCTCATTGTAAAGTCTAATGAGTTAAGACATGCAGAGAAATATGTACACATTTTTTGTATCCATACAAAAATGCTCTGTAGCATATCTCTTTTACTCCAAAAATGTATGCATTTGGCAACAGTAAAAAACATTTTTGTTGTTAAATCAGCTAATTCATACATTTTACAGTACATTTCCACTAAAGTCTACACTGACACGTAGTCATCAGCACTGTCACTCTAATCTAATCAGCATTCAAAACTTATGTAACTCATCCAACATTGCATATGTCTTCCTGATATGTAATGGTAAACAGAAACATGTGGATGCACACAGATGACAATGACTGCATTGTTTGAATCTCCCATGTAGCTCCAGTAATTCTGTTGTATGCCATCATCCAGCTTCAGTTTACACACTTGATTACACTCAGAAATAATAATAACTATTAACAGGGTTGTGGTTATTGACACTGTGATGACATTAAATTCAGTTTGCCATCTTTCACTCAGGTGTTTATCAGCTGGTTAGACAAATAGTAAAATGTCAGCTGTTGTCAGTGTGTCACTCGATGTGGGTTTTGATCACTGGGACTCAATCTGCTTGATGTTTGGTGATCTGCTCCACATATCAGTCATTGGACACAGATGTGACTACAAAGTACTCTGTGAACACACATCTTTGCTCTAACAGCACAATCCTAAATATGTGCAACTTTAATCCTGATTAGCCGATGGCAGCCATGACTTTTAAAGACTACCTAGATCTCTCATGGAGACATTATGGATTTGTGTCAGGGTGAATTTTAGGCCAAATTGACTGGGCCACTGATTCATGGCCATTTATCAAATTTTTTGCTTGAGTACAGACTACAAGCAAAAGTCATTAGTTTCTGCAGGATCAGAATTACCCACATGACATTGGCAGATATTGGAATAATAAACAAGTTAACTTTTATTAGGCTCAGCCAAGTATGCAGTCAATTTTGGATGAGTCAATAACATTTGTAGGAGGAATGGATAAAATGTTAAATTAGTCAATGCACAAATGAGACCAATACTCACAGTTTTGTCCCAATGCAGGGAGAGAATATACCTCTAAGTCTTATGGTAGATTCTTGATGATCATTAAAGTGTCTTGTAAATGGCAGCATGGTGGCGCTGTTCACAGTTAAACCTTATCACTTGCTCTTTGAGTGATGGACAAAGGTTGCACCAAATTTCACTTCAATATGTTTTGTATTTGTTGAGAGACACTGCTTTCAAACAACCCGGACCGAGGTAAAGAGGGAGCCTTGTATTGTTATTTAAGTGGGCTTTAAAATTGTTTACTATTTCTGTTGACTACGATACCATCTACTTTTACACTGTATTGCCCGAGATAACAGTTTGCTTGCCCTAGATGGAGGCCCTGCTCCTACAAGTTAACTGTTTCATATTTTCAGTATTTATTCAGACATTCTGCAGAGGAACAAAAGGGCTTTTAGACCCAGACTTTGGGGTCGGGATCTTGACTAAATACGTCACAATGTGTTCACTGTTCAAAGGATTGTGTCTCAAGTCCCTCAAGAATGTGTCTATGAGATAATCCTCCGAATGCGCTAAGTTGTTGAAGTATTTCGATGTGGTAATTTGCCACTTGCTGGAAAGTCAGGCCATGAGAATTCTGATTTGGGTCGGTGGTGACTTTCCTATCAGCGGTGCCTTCACTCACTGAATGGAGTCAGTGAACTGTTAAGAATGGGTCATTCAGTTGTGAATATTAAGTTGTGCCAAATGACAGGGAATTTGTGTCAGCTACTAAGAAAGGAGTTTACATTTGCATGAATCTGTAGTGTTGATGTTTTACATTAGAACTGCAAGTGCAGGGTCGGGGCTTATGTTTTAATAATTTGTTAAAATTCTGGTTAAAAATGTTTTCACTTTTGTAAAAGCTGCATCTGGTGAAGATAATAGGCCACACAAATATGAGAAATATAATTTTCCTTGTCAGTCGTAAAATGGAATGCCTCAACTCTGAAAGTAATTTGTGTCTCTCTTTGTTTTATTTTTGTATTAAAAACTGTAATAAAATCTAGAGGTTGTAATTCCACCCATATCTACTGCTTTTTTCTGGCTGTGTTACCTCCTCCCGTGAGTCCCATTGCCTCCAGCTGAAAAATTGCAACTGGAGTTATTGACAATTGGGCGTGTTAACATTAAGCTCCATGGGAAACAGGTAACCAGAGAGCACATTACCTGCTGCAGCTCAGCTACACCGGAGCGCCTGTTCAGAGCTGTGGCTGTCTCACTCTCACTTCTTCACTCTCACTGGCCCTTTTGTGTCGCTCACACAGAGAGGTGATTGAGTTGCATTCAGGGCCTCTGCGGCTCCCAACCCCCTCTTTAATGCAGCGCTACGGTCATCCAGGGTGTGTTCGGTCTCTGCGTTGAAGACAAACAAATGTTGTTGCCTGGCAGGGAAACTGAGAGACTCTCCTGTGTGAGCAGGGTGTTTGGGGAGTGAGGGGCCCTTGAGGTCTGGGCTTCATTTAAGAGACTTCAAGGCTTCCTAGAACAGTCCACAGTCTGTGGCTTGTGTCAACAAGCTCAGGAGCTTGTAAGGCAAGAAAAACAGAGAAGTGTGCCCA